TCACATTTGGCCCGCGGGCCTTGTGTTTGACACATATGACCTACTGTAGACCATAAGTAAAGCATGTTGTATCCATTTCAAAACAGCTCCAAAAAAAGGAAAGAAAATAAAAACTCACAGATTCATGCATAAACTATTTGTTACATCGCCATTACGTTACCAAATTACATACATAAAATTCTTTGGATAATTTCATTTGCAAATAGCAGCAACAACCCTTCTGGTGCACCTTGAGGCATTTACGGTATAYGGATATTTTACTATTTTCATCAGGGTAATACTTTAATTTGGAATGTGGAAAAAATGTGGTGGGCTACAAGTTTATAAAATAACATTCTTGGCTTTTTGTTCTTGGCTCTACGCTCAGACCAYCTCTTAGCTCGTCAGCCTGGTCAGATTGAAACTATTTCCCCAAACCGAGGTTGTTCAAAGAGGTATTTAAAACAAACAAGATAACAATCACTTATTTTCAAGTCATGTGAACTGTGCTTTTAAGATCAGAAACTGATAAAAAAAGTGTGTAGTGATTTTATACATTAGACTTATTTAAAAATAATAATAATTCTAGTGTCAAATTGAAAGTATTTCTCAACTGTACAGCTTCTTTGAAGAAATTAACTTAATAAATATATATTTCCTGCTTACCTTGTTGCACAAAGGAGCCATAGACAAACCACATGGAATTGTAGAGTGTGGTTGAAGACACAGAGTTCATGGGTAGCCGCGGTGGGTTGAGCCAGTTGAGCAGGTACACCAGGATGCCCACGAGGAGCACAGTGCCTGCGATGCACGCCCACAGCGACAGGTCAAAGGGTGCCAGGCAGGCAAACATGTCCACTGTGCGTTCAGCCTTGCGCAGCAGAACACCCACAGAATAATCCATGTAGCGCGTGGTGAAGTCCACAACGCTCTCTCGCTCAGGCGTGATGGTCAGAGCTGAAAGTCCCACATCAGCTCTCTGCAAGGGGTGGAGGAGAAGAGAGAAGGGTGAGACACGAGGGCTGCTTAGAGGACAAGCTTCTGGAACCACGAGAATGCTTTAAATATGAAACTGAATGACCTGTATCAGTGYCTAAAATGACATGTTTTATTATGTTTTATTACTTTTATATGTGTAAAATAAAGATAATATCTACTGTACTTTTTCACTGAAAGAAACAAAGTCATAATTTTTGCTAGATCCTCATTTTGTTTAGCAAAAACAAATTAACTTATAGAAAACTGCATTGAGAGTAAGCTTAACACATGGTTGAGGTCAGGATGGAAAATAAAAATATGCTGATGTGGGAAAATTTTCAACATGTGCTTCAAATTTCAGTAATCTACCTAAGTATGTAATTTCTTCCCTGTAAGCTCACTTTAAGCCAACACGAGATTGACAATCTTTTGAAGTCAGAATTTTGAATCATTTATTCATGACATTTTTTTTATCTTTTTTTTTGCATAGGCYTCATCAGACCACTAAGCCTCGAGGTGTAGCCCCAAATATATGTATATTTATTTTTTTAATTTTAACTATCTGTGGATCTGTCAGCCCAGGAGAAATATTTAAATAATGCAGATATATGCCAAACTGGAATTAAACTCCCCACGATGATGATGATGATAAAGTATGGTCTATTTTCATTACAACACAAGCAAGCTGTATTTTTTTCTCCCCTCTGTATTTCATGCAACTACAATCTACATCGTCACTACATAGAAATACAAGTATGTCGATGGCTGATGTGTATTTTTGAAATAGATCAAATAAAGGAAAAAAGAAAGGGAGCACAGCTTAATTATGTCTCTGATAGGGACTTTGTGTGTGTGTGTGTGTGTGTGTGTGTGTGTGTGTGTGTGTGTGTGTGTGTGTGTGTGTGTGTGTGTGTTTGTGGTCAGGGTTAGGATATAAATTAAAAAAATGAATGGAAGTCAATGGAAAGTCCCCACAAGGATATAAAAACTAGAGTTTGTGTGTGTGTGTGTGTGTGTGTGTGTGTGTGTGTG